CAGATTATAATTATTCATTTTGCCCAGTCCTGCATCTTTTCCCCATAATCCTCTTGTTGAGGGAGGAAAGGTGCAGGAGGATATGAGGCTTATTCACATGAAAGAAAAAAAGTAAAACATTTACATCTTTCTGTCCGCAAAACAGTTCTTTATTTTGCCTTTTATTGAGTCAAAATAACTTTGTATTTGCAATGATCCTTTCTGGTGTAGAGGCCTGATTAATGAAAAGTATTTGTTACTACAGCTAAAGTTCCCAGAATAGTAAAGTTTGTTAAAAATCTATTTACAATTACTATTGTTGGAGGCTGTCTTTATGTTGCAGAGTGCAAGCATCATTAACAGGCGTTGCTTTGACAGCTGTGGCAGATGGATTGCATGGATTTAGATGGTGCAAAAGAAATGAAGTAGTTTACATAGACCTGCCTGAAAAGATGTCTTTAATAATTGCACTCATAATTACATTGATTTGGGAAAAAAAAAAAAACAAAAAACAACAGAAGATGACAACGACAAGCAAAGAACCATGGAGTATACTTACATAGACTCAGATAAAATCAAGCACAATTATAACAAAATTATAAACTTTAGCAAAGCATGCTGAAAATTTCCTGAATAAGTAAAAAATTCTAATAAAATTAATGGTATATTTTATTTTTAGGTATTTATGAAATTAAAATCTAGCCTTTTCACTTTTTCCTGAACATTTCATTAATAGCTTCTGATTTATAAGAAAACAAGGAGTTGTTGACATCATTTTACATATGTGTATATATGTGTGTGGGCATGTATGTGTATATATACATAAGAACAACATAAAAGATATTTCAGCAAAGAATTGTCAGAGTGGGGGAAAGTTATCATAAAAGCAGGACCGAAGGTAAAATTTGTCTCACAAATTATCATACTTAAATTTAGGTGTCTGCAGATGAGTGTCTGAGAAGTCGGTGTCACGTCAGACTAGTTCTTCAAGCAGCACTGGCTGTGTTGCCCTGACCTCCACTGGCTCAGAGAGGGTTTAGGTGCACAGCTACAGAGATCTAAATTTAGGCATCTAAATCTAGAGCTAACATAAATGTCTATGACATAAAGTCAGTGGTAGGTTTAGCATTGTCCTTAATGATATTGGACCAAGCGTAGTCATGAAGCTTGATTATGCATTGTCTTCTTTTACTCTGAGCACTGCTTGAGTTCTGAGAGACTTAATGTAGGAAAAGACAGCTGGATCTGAACTGTAATGAATCTACTGGAAAAGGTACTGGTTTGGAATATAAAAGTGAGATAGTAATATTTCACTTTCTTTTTTCCCCTCTTTTTTTTTTTTTTCCCCATTTTAGTGATTTCAAGTAATTATCAAACCTGTTTGGGACTTCTGATGCATTATCCACCTATTGGAGATGTTCACTCCCTTATCCTAAGAGCACTTTTTCTCCGAGATCCAAAGGTGAGATGCTCGCTTTGTAAATACGGGGAATAAATCTCTGTAATAAAATGTTCTAAATACTATGAAGTTAATAACAACCTACATTTTGGGGACTCAACTATAGTTTCAAGTTTCTACTTACCTGATAAAAGAGCTGAGTTGGTAACCAAGACTAGAAACAAGTTCCTTTACTCTTTAAAGGATATTATCTTACTACTTTGCTAAAGTTATCCAGGAGCTCTGGTAACTGCAGATGTTTATGCTCTTTAGAATACCTTTGCTTGCTATTCTGCACAGACATCTTTCATAATAAAGTATACTTTTGAGGGAAGCAGTAATATTTTACATAATAACTTAGTAAGCTGTATAGAAACTGTCATGCAATTTCATCTGTAAGATCTTTTTCGTGGAATTTCTGCAGATTAATCACTGTTAATCCTTAAAGCACTACCTCCCCCCAATATAGAATAGTTATGTGATGGTTTTCGGTTAAAAACAAGAGTCTGCTCTTACAGCCTGAAAAGATTCACGTGGATAAAATGTATAAATTCATAAATTGTGTTACATATTACTAGCATATGGTTTCTGATATGCTCATCTGTACTAAAAAAAAAGCGAACCTCTTGCTGTTTTAGAATGGCATGTATATATGTATGGATATAATATACAGCAGTTATCCACAGTATAGTGGATAAAGTGTTTGAGATCAAGCTGTAGACAGTAATCTCTGCAGTACTCAGATCTTCGGCAGATAGCGGAATTTGTGCTGCTGGTTTTGAACTGTCTTTGTGCATGTCCCATTAGTAGGCTGCCAGTGTGAAGTCTGATTTCCCTCATCTTCTTGATCCATGTCACCTTTGAAAGGGAAAAATTCATCACTTCTGCACTCTGACTGCCTTCTGCAAAATTTCATTCAGTACTGATGTTTACACTTTTATGGATTAAGAAAAAAAAATGTCTCTTTGTTTCTCTATCAGTTTTTTGCAGAAATCTGCGTCCTTACAGCTGCTTTCTTCATTCCTCTCGGGCACAAAGATTTCTTTCATGACGAGAAGTATATTGTCTTTTCAGTGTATAAGAAAGTTTGTAACATTAGATCTCTGGAACCTTTCTTAAGATTTCCACAGCAGTCTGTGAAATCAGACTGCCCAGCATTTATTTATGTACTCTCTTAGCATAACAGATAGAAGTATTTTTTAGAGGCAAGATACAGAGGGAAGAAAATTGTGCTAACATATCAAACTAAATCCAATATGTACTCTGTCATTTGTTGAAGGTATATGTTATAAGACAGAATAATTACTAATCGTTCAGCTGTCCTCCGAAGCATCCTAGGCAGTATACAAGATACCCTACCAAGTGAAAGGGGCAAAAATAAAGCACCAACTTCCCATGAAAGAAGCTTGATCACTATTCCACTCCTTATGCTCTTGTCTCCAACAGAATGAAATTGTCAGGCTCCTAAGGCCTCCGTGCCCTATTAATTAACATTCTCAGGTGTGCTTTGAGCAACTCTCGGAAAAATACTGGGTGTAGTTCCTACCATGTCTTTCAGGTAGTTCTCCCTTCACTCAGATGAGTGAGTACTTAAAGCTCTTTCATGCAAGACTACTAGTTGTTTTGTCAATTTAAATATGATTAATTACAATTGTTCCTCATTTCTGAGCTGTTCTTATCTGCTTGGGAAGTACTCTGACGGTTAGGAAGCTGGGATTTCCAGAGGATGAAGAGCCCTAAGGGACTTCCAGCCACCTCTCGTTTTATGTTGGGTCTTTCGGTTGAGACTGCATAAACAGACCTGGACTTCTTATAAAAGGAAATTAAACTGTTCTAAAGGATCACTCTGAAATAAAAAAATAGCTCCTAGTCTGAGAAAGAAAGGTATTTTCAATGCTATGATTTCAGTACCTGTTTCTTATCTTTC